GTGTGTGTGTGTGCAATGGTGAGGAATAATGACGGGCTAAAGGGCTTGAGCTCTCCAAGTTTTTTTATTTAAGTAATTTATTTTTTCATAAAAAGGCGTTTTTACGACCCCATCAAAACAATTTAGATAATTCAGATGGCGCGGTTCTAACCTTGCCTGCCAGGGCCAACCCCAGCTGAGAGGGATATATTATCCTGGTAAAAAGACCGAAATACTTGATAAATCTCTTCTCCCCACACGAGAATCGAACTCGGGTCTCTAGCGTGCGACAGCAAAGCGCCTCACCACTACATCACAGACGCCGGTCCTTAGTTAGAAAAGGTTGCTTCACTAATTAACGAATCAATAATCAGTCGAAACATGATTGCACGCAGTGAAAACATACTTCGTTATCAACATAATATTATAGTCGCTTGCTTGATTGATTGTCCAGTCGCTATTGTCACCGCCTACAACAACTAATCTATCTAACAATCAACCAAAACCGTATGTCTTTAAGGCTCAGTAAATGTGAGACAGTGTGGTGGAATCAGGCTCTCGTCAAAATAATCAAAGTGAAGAAACTGGCATTTTTCTGCAAGTTCGTAAATTTTTATCAAAATTTTGTTTTTTGGCTCAACACCATTCATGCCCATTAAAGAACTAATTTCTGTGTGAATTTTTCTTAAAAACGTTGATTAAAGACACCAAAAATATAAATTTTTCAGTTACCACAGACTCTTAAGCTAAGGAAATAACTAATCTTTGGGGCCATTTTCTCACTCATTTTACCTCTGAAAACAGGTGACCCCCATCTCCTTCATTCGCAAATATCTCGACTTGTATTCAAGAGAAATGGATATTTTTTCCTCCAAATAAAGACAAGTGAACAAGCTTTAAGATTATAGCAATAACTCTACATGCTCAAAAATTGACGAGAGCCTGATTCCACCACGCTGCCTCACAAATGGTGAACTCGCTCCCACTGCCCTTTCTTTAGGAAACCCTTCTTATAAAAAGGTAAGTCATACTTTTTCAACTTGCGAACTCTCTGTCACAGTAGAAGAAATGGTTTCGCTTGCGCATCCAAGCCCTGGCAACGGGGTAAAAACTATACGTTCTCTCTGACCGTCTAGGGTAAAAAGTTTATAACATAACACACCTTCCCCAGTGATACAGTTACCTTCGTGCTCACTGGACTTTCGTTAATAGGACGTGTCAATGTCTTCTGGCTTTTACTTTTGGCGACTACACAGCCTTATCTATTTGCACTGTGTTTTCACAGACAGAATATGTTTGCAATGCTTGGTTAATATTTATGTTTGTGCAGCTCAGATTTATCAGTTATAAATTACGTTGAAGCTAGACACACTTTGAAAGCGAACTTTTCATGGGCTAAAATAAGAGGAGAGTTGGAGGAGAAATGGCTTAGTCCCCGTCAGCCACAAGATTATAAGTTAAAAAAACAAACATGATTTTCTCGTCTGCGTGGTTCTTGAAATGCCCAAAGACCACCAAAATTGCAACAACAAAAAGCCGTGTTATTTTTACTGCTTACTGTTTTGTGGTAAAGAAGTCGATGCAATCTTAAGTTCCATCCACAGGTTAATCCATCCTCTGTCATGCTGTATGTGCGTTTGTGTATACGTGTCTGTATGTGTGTGTGTGTGCGTGTGTGTGTGTGTGTGTGAGAGAGAGAGAGAGAGAGGGGGGGAGGGAAAGAGAGGGAAAGAGAGAGAGAGAGAGAGAGAGAGAGAGAGAGAGAGAGAGAGAGAGAGAGACAGAGAGACAGAGAGACAGAGAGACAGAGAGACAGAGAGACAGAGAGACAGAGACAGAGAGAGACAGAGACAGAGACAGAGAGAGTAAATGAGTAGAAATTTTGCTCAGAGCAACTATCAGTACAGTCTGGATATACTTTTCTTTGTGGCTTACACATTATCGAGACTGTTTTTTTCGTGCAATATCAACAGGTTTACTGTAGCTGGTACTGCCGAAAAAGGCTTTTCTCGATTTTACTTGCTTCTTTCATCAAGCCTTTTAATCACTAACATTTCGCACATTTTATTAACCGTCTTGACATTGCCTTCAGTTTGTGAATTCGCGCATGGTTACTTGCAAGATCTATTAGATAGACTTTCCCTCACACGGATCTTTTCTTCTCGGTTTGGTGTACATTTTACGCAAATATTATGTTAAATATGTGCACTCACATGGGGAAATTTGTGAAGCTGAAAAAGTAAGACAAAATTGGTTCCGTACAAATGTGGGATGGCCCTCCGTGCACGGTATACTAAGAGTAGAGTTAATGGGTTGTAAACACGTGTGACACGACGAGGGGGAATCAGACGCTCGGAAGTTTTTGGGCATGTGGAATTATTGGCATCATCTTAAAACCTGTACACGTATCTTGCTTTTAATGAAAATATACCCATTCGTCTTGAATAGTAGTCATGATATTTGGGATTGAATGACGTGGGGATTGCCTGGTTTCGGAAGTAGAATAAGCGAGAAAATGTCCGCCAAAGTGTGGGGACTTCCATAGCTCGAGAGTCCTGGGAAACTGAACATTTTCATTTTTGTGTCTTTAATCAACGCTTTTTTTTTATCGAAAGGCATATAAATATGTTTGTAAATGGACATTTAAGGTATTGAGCCAAAAAAACAAACATTCCATAAAAACTGCCAAACCAGCAGATAAAAATGCCGATTTCTCCGATTTCATTATTTTGTCGAGAGCCAGATTTCACTACGTTGCCTCACAATTAGTTTCGTCTGGGACGGGGGCTGGTATTTCCTTTGCTTAAATCTCTCACGCAATGCCGAATGAAATAGCTGCACTCCTGGTGGGTCTATCATTCGTCAGTGTCAGAGCGAAGGTAAATTGCGTACAAATACATAAGCAGATACTCTGACCGAGGCAATAAATGTCCGTGCAATACCAGACACCGCTAGGCAACACATGCTTTGCTTCACAGCTATAAAGATAACAAATGCCTGACGAACCCTCGCGTCTTTTAACCCTAGAGAACTCGATTGCCCAAGCCGCCACCCCTCCCTCCAAACCTCCCACTTCAAATTATGGCGTCGGTGGACTAGCGGTTCGGTATTGTTGGGCTCGCCACTGAAAAGGCATGAGTTCGAGTCTTGTCAGGCACGGGACCCGACGCCATGTCCTTGGGAAAGAAGGCCACTATACACAAAGTTTCCTCACATCACTCAGGTGTATAGACGCCAACAGCTGACCTTGTCAGTGTGTAAGTGTTTGAGCACTTAATCGGCTGCTTGCATTGCATGCTGCCCGGGAAATCAAGAAAGTTTTGGTCTAAGTATTCTAGGGTCTTCTGTTATAATAATACAGAATGTGTAAAGCGCATAGAACTTGCTGTTGAGCAGGGATATATCGCTATAATACGAATGCTATTTAGCAGCACCAACAGCAGCAGGAGTCGGAGTATTTATATTATTACTATTATTTTTTTTTTTGTTGCTGTT